CTTTTGTACAAAGTATTAGATAAATTTCAGTAAGCGTGTTCAATACTTTTTCCCTGTGCCATTCCACATTATTACAAATAACTTCATTTATGGTTTGATTTCTTTGTATGTATGGATCACTTGGGTTGTTACCGACATCTGGTGAAAATTTCACGTCATTAGCACCTCTAGTAATATATTTACTGAGAAAAATGTTGACGTGTTCAATACTTATTTTACCCGCTGTATTTCAAAAAAGACAAAGCTGGTTTCTTCACTATTAAGCATTCATTGTTTACGAAAAGAGTTCCCTTCAATCTGATGATCTCACACTGTTGGATTTGAATAAAGTATTGATCAGCACAGCTGATCTGGTGATCCAACAGGTAAAAACAGTATCAACCCTGCTGTCTGCCATCTTGTTTCTTCTGCAGCGGCAATGTACTGAGGTCTTATGCTCACTGAGTCCAWGATTTAGTTGAGGTCATGGAAACAACTTCATGTAGATGTGATACCTGCTCAGTGTCTCCAAAACRCATTTAAACTTTTTAAAACTTGAACACACAACACACATGTTGTCATGCTACAGCCCTGAACTTTCTGGTATTTTACTGATCTCTTCTGTGACATGTTACAGTGTAGTGCAGGGCTATTCAACTTGCGGTCCGCAGGCCACATCCGGCCTGCGAGTGACCAAAGTTCAGTCGCTAATTGGTTCATTCATCTCTTAAGCCCAAACCCCGGGTTTTCCACTGTAATTACTGTAAGTTCTTTTAGTTAAACATAGACATGTTTGGTATCTACAGAAACTTCAGAATCAGAATCTTGTCTAGAAGCTGGTAAAAACCATTTCAATGAAAACTCAAGACAGTGAAAATTACAAGCAGTTGAAGATAAAACTATGAAAGTAAAACTAAAATTTGGCAAGTAAGAGATGTCAAAATATTATTTGTGGTAAATAAGAGGCATAACGTGTTATTCTTTTATTATCATTACTTTTAATTATCAGTCAGATATTAGCATAAAAATGTAAAATCTCTAAATATCGGTATCATTTTTTTAATTCTGATAACAAAAACCCGATAAATTCACGCCTGGATTTGACCAAAATGTGCTAATAAAGGCTTGTGGTCCAGAGACATTCACCGGTGCGCAGATGATGACATCATCAAACCAGATTATCTCAGGGAGACCATGAGCCAAACTATTGTTTGAGACAAAATGTTACAAATAAATATGGCACTTTTCCCCTAACTTCAGTTAAATGTTTTTTTTATTTTGTACAGACAATGTTTACTTATGGAATGCATCCAGTGGGTTATCACCGTAAAAGCAGGTATGATGTCCCTGACAGGAGATATGTGATGTCAACTTAATATCRGTTTGTAATATCAGCTAATATCATAATTGGAAATTAAGTGTTGAACAATATWGGCAAAAAATCAACATCAAACATCTCTACTTTTACTACTTAGGGTTCTATGTTTTAACCATGATTAAATGCAGCAAAATAAACTATTTCAAAGATA